AACACAAACAAAAAATTGTATTTGCTTTCTTTCAGAGAAATAGTCTCAGTGGTCTGGCCTACTCTGGGCTACATGAACATTTCTGTGAACGGTCACGAACCCCAAGCCACAGTTTGCCTCCGTGCTCCAAGCCATAGTCAGGGGTGAGGAGAACGTTCTGTACCTGTCCTCGAGCTTTGCCTTAAAAACCCAGACCGCGCACTCCGGGACTCCTGGCATGGTAAACTCATGGTCCTCTGCCAGCAGAAGGCTGACTCTCTTCCATCTCTTTTGGTTCCTCTCTCTTTACCAGATTATGTTCTGACAAGTGCTTACTGATTCTCAAACTACTTTTCCGATTCACATGCTGTCAGCATCTTCCTGGGTTCAAGGTGAAGGCTCGATCAGAGAGAGCTAATGCATGGAATTGGGACCATTGTTCTTAATAAACACTGCACTTTAAAGGCAGTAACATGCAGAGCCATAGAGAAATGCTCATTCTCCAAACTCGGGAAGAAGTTACAACCTGCCCTTCCTTTGCTCTAAGGAGAAGGAAGCCGCCCTGTGTACAGACTGAGAGATCTAGGCTCTAATCTGTCTCTTCCTGACATTTAGAGTAACTTTGGCAAATGATTCAACCTTTCCTTGTTTCAGGTGCGGAGGATGTGCAGGAACAACGTGAATTCACCTGGTGTGATGGGAGGGGACATAGATAATGAGGGCGCTGATGCGCTAGGTTCTGCTGTGTGGATGCTTTATCAGAAGCTTCTGGGGCTTTCAGAATTGTCTCTGGAATTAGTCCTGTGGAACTATGGCTCTCTGGATCTCTCCTTACCTCTAATTCCTCTCCAGGCCATTTCCAGCAGAATGTGGCTCATTCTCCCCATTGAGAGAACAAATTGGTTATTCATTACACCTTATCGATGAGCTAGTCCTGCACAGAAAGGAAATATCCGAAAATCAAAAACATGGAAACAATAGCAACTGCTTTGTGTCATGGGTTTTCCTTTGGGTTATAACAATGTGCCACAGGACATTCATCCAGATGCTGAGATAAATTCTGAGAACATTGAAGAAATTTGCTGAATCTCTTTAGAATTAACCCAGAGGAGCTGACCTCTCTTCTTCTGAGACTTACTGGCTTAAAGATTCTTGGGGGAGAACTTACAGTGTTTAGTTTCACATTTAAATTTAATTTCCTATATCCATGTTTTGGGGTAGCATGCAACTCTTTTTTCCCCCAAGTTTCCTCTTTCACCCTTTCTAACTCTTAAACCAAATCCAATCCTCATTTATCTTCTTGCTCTTTGACTGTTTCGGTTTCTCTGTCTTGTTTTTACTCCACTTTGTCATGTTCACCTTGTATGACCTGAACTCCAGTGCCACACAGTTCCCCAGGGGTGGCGTCATTCTTTAAAGGTGAGAAAGGAGGAAGTGGGCCCGTGTGCCACTTTGCCAACTTTTTTTTACCCAGATGTGAGGCATGCAGTTAGATTTTGTGCCTTGGGGTGCTAACATGGAACTCTTTCCCTTTACAACATAATTACAATGTGCAGATCCATGAGGACGTGTCAGCTAGTCGAGATTGGGGAACAGGAGGGATGCTCAGTGGAAACTACTTGAGAATCCTCCAGATAGAGGGTGTGGGGCTCCAGGTCTGGTGTGCTCACTGAATTCGGAGTTGTGGGATACTTGCTGAAGTTAGGCATTCGGGACAAAATTTCTCTGGGGTCTGAATCCTGTGGGCCAGAGTTACTGCTGCTCGAGCTCCTCAATTGACGTAATGTTTCCGCTTGGAAAATTTGCAACTTAGAAGGCAACGAATCTGTCTGTAGTCTTTTTGTGGATGACTGGTCCTGAGGGCAGGCTGAGGGTCCTGCAGAGCTTCTGTTCTGTCCTGGCCTGTGACTGCCTCACTGAAGGTCTCCTTTCTTCAGCTTGTGACCTGTTGGGCAGAACCCTGTGACGCTAGCCACATAAATAAGATCTGGAGGTGGAAGGGCTTTGGTCCCTAAAGCCCTTTGCTCCAGTTTCCATAGAAACAAGCCAGAGGTGATACCCACCACAAGGGCTCTTAAAGTCACAGATACTTTATTCTGAGAATCCCATCATGTGACAAATACCACTGGGCAATAGTTTTTAAAGGCATAATCTATTTCGCTGCTCTAGATGGCTTTGGTTAAGGCTTTCGATTCCTTGTAGCAACCCTCCTTCCTTTAAAATAATTGTTTTTTGTTGTTGCTTTTATTTTTTGTAGGTGTGTGTATACATATGTATGTATGTATGTATGTATGTAGGCTCCACACATGGAGCCCCATGCAGGGCTTGAATTCATACCCCTGAGATCAAGACCTGAGCTGAGGTCAAGAGTTGGACACTTAACCCACTGAGCGTCCCTGTTGTTGCTTTTAAACTTATAGAAAAAGGTGACCAGTTCATGCCAGTTGAATTACAGACTCTGAACAGATGGTTTAAGATAATTTATTATAGGGGCGCCTGGGTGGCTCAGTGGGTGGCTCAGTGGGTTAAAGCCTCTGCCTTCAGCTCAGGTCATGATCCCAGGGTCCAGGGATCAAGCCCCGCATCGCATCGGGCTCTCTGCTCAGCAGGGAGCCTGCTTCCCTTCCTCTCTGCTTACTTGTGATCTCTGTCTGTCAAATAAATAAAATCTTTAAAAAAAAAAAAAAAAGAAAAAAGATAATTTATTATATTTTATATATTTACATTTAATTTATTACATTTGTTTCTAAAGTTTTGGGAGAAAATTTAGCACCAACTAAAGAGTTGAAAGAGTATAGAACCAGCAGTCAGAGGCCCCAAGCACAAGGATTGAAACTTCAGTTCTTCCAAAAATCAAACTTTACTTTGTGATTTGGGGTGACACCCCAAACCTCTCTGGACTATGATTTCCCAGTTGGTAAAATTAAAGGACTGGATCAACTGATCTTTAACTTTTTCTAGGTCCAAAAAGTCTCTGAATTTGTGGTGTTATGTAACAGCAGAAGAGGTTCCATGAAAAAAATAGAATGTTGCTCTATTGATGATGATTATGTAGGAATGGTGGTAAGAAATTTGCAGGAAGGTTGCTAGTAACATAATGAAGGAAAAGGGAAGGAGGGAAAAGAAAAAAATATGATTTACCAAACTTTCTTCTGTGTGCTAAGAAATTCACAGACATTATCTCATATGAAAAATATATCATTTCAGTGATTTACTCCTTAAGGGTAGAGCTGCCATGTTTCTTTCTTCTTGCCCCAGATGTGCATGATAGCTAATTTTGAGTGCTTCCTCTGTGCCAGGCACTCTCCCAAGCACTTACACATCCTTAGACGGGTTACTATCTCCATCCACAAATGAGGAAACTGAGGCACATAGAGCTTAGGAAACTTGCCCAAGGCCATCCAGTTGGTAAGTGGCAGAGCCAAGCTCCAAACTCAGTGTTGGGCCCTAGATCTGTGCTCTTAACCACATCCCCATATTGCCTCTTGTCATTCATTCATTAAGAAAATATTTGATGAACACTATTTGCTTGATCTATTTACTAGATGCTGTGTATTATAGACAGTGTCTACATTCTGTACATTATGTAGGGTATAATGAATACTATACCTTTATTCTATATACTTTGTAAGCTGTATTAAACAGTACACACTACAATGTATATATAATGGGTAATATACACAGTATATTATATACATACTAGCAGTGTTCTGCTATAATAGGTATTTAGTAAATACATGTTGAGTGAATGAAAACAATACTCATTCAACATCATGTTCTATTCTGGCAGAGCTGGGTCACTGAGGATTTATTCTTCCAGTTCTCCTTTCCAGACCTCTCCTTTAAGGGCAGTTTCCTTCTTTTACCAGGTGTTGTGGCTTCTTTCGGACAGGTAAATTCATTGGCCCACCCAAGTCTGAACTCTAGTGTTCAAATTGCTGAGTGTGCAACAGGGAATGAATGAAAGGCTGACAGCTGGGCAGTGGACACAGGAATGTCAAGGCTGCTGGTGGGCTTGGAGGAGAGCCAGCCCTGCCTCCCAGCACCAGGGAGAGCTTGTTCTGCTTCACTTTCTTGAAAACAAAGTTCAAAGTCACAGAACTGGAAAGGTGTTCGTGATAGAGTCTAGCCCAACTCCATCAGAAATCATAGGCCCCACTTCTACTCTCCAAACCAGCTAAGACCAGAAAAGGGCGCTGACTGTTCCTTAATTTTTTTTTTTTAAGATTTTATTTATTTTTTTTTTGACAGAGAGAGATCACAAGTAGGCAGAGAGCTGGGCAGAGAGAGAGGAGGAAGCAGGCTCCCCGCTGAGCAGAGAGCCAGATGTGGGGCTGGATCCCAGAACCCTGGGATCATGACCTGAGCTGAAGGCAGAGGCTTTAACCCACTGAGCCACCCAGGTGCCCCTGTTCCTTAATTCTTAATGGCATTACTTTCTGCCCATTTTGGGGGGCTTGTCCTCAGCTCTACTGCTTTTGAAACAAGTGGATTCCTTCCCAAGCGCTCCAGTTCTCCCCAGAATAGATGAATGGAAGGAAGGGAGGAAGGGAGGGAAAAATGAGGAAGGACAGTAGGGAAGGGAGGGAGGAAGGGAAGAAAAAAGGGAAAGAAGGATGCTTGCATGAATGGGTGAACAGATGAACGGATGAACAGGGGGTGTGTGGATGGAGGGATGCGCAGGACCTTGGGAGCGTAATCTCAGCCGGTGGGGCCGAACCTCTCTTGGGACCCCCGCTGTCCTCACGTTCTCTGGCTGCCGCTCCTGCGCCCCCAACCAGCTTCGGCGCTCCGAGGGAGGGAGGGGGTGGGGGAGGGGGAGGGAGACGCGGGAAGGGAGGGCCTGGGAAGCGGGGAGGAGGGGCGCGGGGAGAGGGCGAGGCGTCGGGGGCGGGGGGCGAGGCGGGAGCTGGGAGCCTGGTTGCGGCGCGGGCGGGGACGCGATGCCGCCGCCGCCGCCGCAGCCGCCTCCTCGCCGGCCTGGGCTGCGCCGCCGGGGCTGAGCCGCCGTCGCCGCCGCCGGAGCCTCGAGCCGAAGGGCCGCCGGGCGCGCCCGCAGCGCAGGAGGATGGGCTGTGGCGGGAGCCGGGCCGATGCCATCGAGCCCCGCTACTACGAGAGCTGGACCCGGGAGACCGAGTCCACCTGGCTCACCTACACCGACTCGGACGCGCCGCCCAGCGCCGCGGCCACCGACAGCGGCCCCGAGGCGGGCGGCCTGCACGCGGGTGAGTGAGCGGCTGTCGCGGACCCCGGGCGCCGGGAGACCAGAGCCGAGAGACCAGCGGGAGGGATAAGGGGCGCCGGGGCAGCGGGAGATTTCCGTGAGAGTGGTAGGGGGTCGAGGGGAGGTGAGGACGGCATACCGACGGGACCTGCCTGCTGGCAGACCGACAGACCCAGGCCCAGCGAGTGCAGTCAGCGCGACACCCTTGCAGAGACTGAGCCAGTCCCGGGAGCCGAGGGCGCTCAGTGCCGGGACCGACGCATCCGCCGCGAGGACAGCCCACCTGGCACGCACACCTGCCCCTCCACCCACCTGCGCCCTGGCGCGCTTGCCTTCGTCTCTGTCCCTCCTCGCCCCCCCCGCCCCCCTCCCCCGCCGGCCCCGGTGGACCCAATCCGGCACCCTCTCCAACCCCCCGCCACGCCACCTGGACTCTCTCTGCCTTGATTTATAGACAGGGCGCCTGACCCAGATTGCCTGGGTGGAGTCTTCCTCTTCGCTTCCCCTTCTTTCCCTCGGGCTGCGAAAACCAGAATCCTAGTTCAGGGCACAAAGCACGCCCGCTCGCCCCACCATTGGTTCTGCACTGAAGCTCGCTTCTCCCCAGCAGGTGTTCCAGAGTGAAGACTTCCTCCCCACCCTACCGTGCCTCCGTACTTGCTAGGAGGCAGGGCATAGATGTGGGCTGGGGCTGTGCATTACACACTCTTACCATTCCCCCACTAGCAGAAATTTAACAGAAGGATATGCAGAGAACTTTCTGGTCCAGTCACCTAGCAGAATTTTTTTTTTTTTAAAGCAGACACTAATGATTATAGAGATGAAAATAATCTGTTACCGCAGACCTTTAGTCGTAAATGTGTTGGTGGAAAAGGAGAACACCTCACTACTTAGTATATGGATGTTGTCAAAAGCCAGATCATTATTTGCATAAAATACTTTAACTCTTTCCAGACCTGCTTATGTTGTTGGCATTTTTAAATAATGAATTCTGAGATAGAAAATGAGGTTAATTTGAAGCATACTGTATGTTATCAGGAGGAGGAAAGAAATGTGAAATACTCTTAGAAAGCTCAATACTCCTATATCCACGCTTCCTTCATAAGGGCTGCTGTTTTAATCTTAAGAATCAGTCTCTCCATCTTTTAGGCCCAAAGCTGGCTCCCTTTCCATACGAACTTGGTGAGTCCCTTTTTAAAAAAACCAAACAAGCAAACAAACAAAAAACCAAGAAAAAGGGGAGAACTGTCAGTGAAAATAGTACAAGACACAAGACAGAACACTGTATTTGTCTGTAATGTTTCGGACTCACTGTAGTGATCATAATGGTTACTTTGTGTCATCAGGGCTTTCAGCAAGTTTCCAAATGATGTGTTGGCTCAATTCAGTGTCAGAAATGAGGATAAGACATGAGCCTTCATAAGGGACCTGGTAAATGTTAGATTTAACAGCATTTCTTGGGAGGTGTGGTACTTCAGAGTCAAAGGCCAGAGCTGCACTCCAAGGAAAAATGGTTGAAAAGATCTAGTATGGGAAAACAAAACAGAGTACAGCTTCAAGGAATGGTTGCCTTGGGAACTGGGAGTATATGGTGTGTGTGTATCTACCTGTGGGTATGAGATGGTTATCATGGGATGGCTAAATATTCATTTCCAGTACTTACTCTTTTTTAGTCTACTATCCTGACTCCTATCCCGTTGTGCCTCATCAGAGCAGTCCCTGCAACAGGTGGGGCCTGGGATGAGCATACTGATTTGTGGTTCCTTGCCAAATATGGGCCAGCCTTGCCAGGCAGGTGATCCTGAAGGCGTCCTTGCTACTGAAGTTTGCCCACTTGGACCCATTTAACCTGGATTCTTCAAAGTGCCTTTCTCATCCCATGGTTGCTCTTTTTTTTTTTTTTTTTCTTTAGAGAGAGAGAGAGCCTGAGCAGGGACTCCGGTAGGGTTAGGGAGTGGCAGAAGGAGAGAGAGAATCTTTTTTTTTTTTTTTTTTAAGATTTTATTTATTTATTTGACAGACAGAGATCACAAGAAGGCAGAGAGGCAGGCAGAGAGAGAGGGGGAAGCAGGCTCCCTGCTGAGCAGAGAGCCTGATTCGGGGCTTGATCCCAGGACCCTGGGATCATGACCTGAGCCGAAGGCAGAGGCCTAACCCACTGAGCCACCCAGGTGCCCCGGAGAGAGAGAATCTTAAGCAGGCTCTATGCCCAGCACGGAGCCCCAAGTTGGGCTCCATCTCAGGACCCTGAGATCAAGACCTGAGCTAAAATCTAGAGTCAGAGGCTTAACCACCTGAGCCACCTAGGTGCCCCCCACAGCTGCTCTTTAAAACTCCACCCTATTCCACTGAAACACCCAGCCCAGTCCAAAGTTTCCATTTCTTCTGGTGCACTGCCCCCCCCACCAACTCCATACTCACGTCTACTGAAAAGTCCCATTTAAGCATGCCTGCTTGTAAATTTTACTTCAGTTTCTTAATCCGATCCAGACTGAGGGCATGTCACAGGACAGTGTTTGATAAATATTTGTTGGATGAATTCTGCATTTTACTGCAGGATGGGGAGGTGTGTTTTTCTGCCAGTCCTATAAAGGAAAGGACTTTCTTGCCTCCCTCTTACTCAAAAAGTAGATCCTGAGCCTCTGGTTCCTGTTTTGGGAGATCATCTCCACTAGCCAGCAGAATTCAATTAAGTTTTTAGGTTCAGCTGTTACGTAGGCTGGAATTGAAGACTTAGCCCAAACCACAATATCTGATAGCCTGTTGCTTCCCTGTGTCATAGCAGCCTGTCTCACTGTCACAGGAGGAAATTAAATTGGTCTGACATGATTTAGTCCTCATAAAATCAGTTTGCTGGATTGATTTTTACTTCCATTGTCTGATGGGGATGTCTCCAGGAGAAAGGGAGTCTCTGAGGTTGCCATGCCCAGCCAGCTCAGCCATCCCGTACATGAGTAACACCCTTGCTTTACCTCAATTTGATCACAAATCCCTTAAATTACAACCTTAAATATACCTTCTTATACTGTTAGGTAGTTCCCTAATTTCTCTAGGAAATAAAACGTTTCAAATTTCTCTAAAGTCCTTCTATTTTACAGTTTTAAATTGCTATAATAATTGCTTTTATAAATGCACGATTGAGGATTACAAAATTATAGAGACTCACAGCAAAACAGTTTACCTAAATAAATTGAAATAAGCAAAATAAAATGAAGAACACTTAACTATTACTATCAGCTAATGTTTATTGATGACTTACCAAGGGCCGGGGACTGTACAAAGCAGCACTTAACAGAACTCATCTCACAGAAGTTAACAGAACTTCGTCCTCATGGCTGGGATGAGGTAGGAACTGTGACCGTCCTTCTCTTACTAGTAAGGGAATGAGACATGGAGTGTGCTAGTGACTTCCCCCCATCCAGTTCTGAGATCCAGCTCTGCTTGAATCCAAAGCCTGTACTTCTAAATACTGCCTTCCTGATAGATGGAAGATTAACTATAGAATTCTTGCTTTTACGGTTGATGGGACTCAAAATCTACTGTGGTCTCTTGATATTCCAGTCTGGTCTTGGATACCATAGTTTTCTTCTACCATAGATGGGACATGTCTTCCCTGGGGAAGGAGATCCCTCATACCTTAGTGGAGCAGTTCTCCTCGTGAGAAAGTCTTCCGGCTGCTTTGTAATTTCTACCTGGTGAACTCCACGCCCTTGCAATCAAGTCTCGTGTAGCAACTCTCAATATTTGAAGGAAACTGTTGCATCTCCTCGGACCTCTGGTTCTCCAGTCCAAACACATGCAGATCTTTCAGTCATCTCTCAGACTTGTGGGGACCTGACCATGTTATTCCAGATATGCTACATCCCTTGCATATCAGAGTCCCTCTTGATACAAGAGACCTGTGGTTAGTTCCAAGCCCTTATGTGGTAGTTGGGCAGCACAGGGCAACGTGCGGGCACTGACCGTCTCCGTGAAGGTAAAATCAGGTTAGGATTTGTTTTCCTGCTCTTGTTGCTGCTGTATTACCTCAGTGACTCACATTAAACTTGTGATTGATAAAAACCTGTAGATCTTTTTTTCTAGTTGAATTTAAGTCTTATCATCTCAGAGACGTTGTCTGTGCTGTATATCCAGCTCCTGGAACAGTGACTGGAACATAGGTGGCACTCAGTAAATGTTGGCCAAATGAATGGCTTCCCCCCACCCCCGCCACGAGTCCTGCAGTCATACTATTGATTTCAGTCACCCAAAGTGGAGATTTTTTAATTTATTCCTATTAAAATGTACCTTGTTGGTTTCAGTGTAATGCTTAAACGTGCTGACTTTTATTCATCTCGACAGTGTCGTTAAGACAATATTCTAGGTCTTCGTTTCCCTGTGTCCACAGACTAAAGATAAAAGACGTTTGCTCTCTTATTCATTCAATATACATTAGGCACAAAGTTGAGTAAGATATGTTCCTTGAACTGTAAGAAATGAATAATTAGTGGAGACAGACACAAAGGTAGACACACTTCAGGTCAGCCTGTGGACCATCCTGGAACATAATATGGGAAAGATGCTGGAGGAGTACAGGGGCCTGGGTAGCTCATTTTGCTGGGGAGTGGGGGTTGGGGAGCTGTGTGCCTGCAGACAGCTGCAGGAGCATGGCAGAGGAAGCAGGACTGTTCCTGAAGGCCCTCACGGGTGTGGAGGGTGTGGTGGTGTTATCCTGCCTCCTTCCTTGAGAGGGAGTACCAGGAGAGAGCCCACCTGGGGCTTTCTGATGGATAAGGCTCCTCCCTCCCTCCTCCTGTCCCTCCTCCAGCTCCTTCTATCTACCTGTTACACTTGTGGTTATATTTTCAGATAATTTATCAATGAATGCCTGCCCCTCAAGCATGACAAGCTGTATTACTTAGATACAGGGTCTTTTTGCTCACCACCGGATCCCTGTGCCTAACACTGTGCCTGTATAGGACCCCAAGTGGCCTTTCTTTAATGACTAAATCTCCTAGCACT